ATGGTTATTTAATATCTTAGGTCACATAACAGCAACGGGAGTAGTGGCAGTTCTGTTTTCATAATGCGACCAACAACAGTTTTTTATTCTATTTTAAATGTACAATAAACAATAAATATTGTATGACAGATGTTTGGGGTTGTTTTTGTGTTTGTTTTTGTTTTTGTCTGGTACCCTCAAAAAGGGTACACTTCCCCTTGGGGGATGGTATGTTGCCACAAGCCCAACCTGAGCCCTCCTGCTTGAGCTGGGATCTGGCGGGAGGCCTGGTGACTGTGATAAGCCAGATGTGGCACTGGGAGCTCTGGGGATTTTCTACAGCAGTTTAAAAATGTTATCCTTTTAGTCTCCTTTTGCATTTTCATTAAATAAAAACAAACTAAAACCAGCATTGAATAGGATAGTATATAAATCATTTCCCTGTAATACACGTCATTAAGATCTGCCTGACATTAGCACATATCCAAAGGTGCCAACATTCTGAGAGAGCAAAAAACAAAAAAAAAAACACTACTGTGACTTTAAGGTCATTGGGATAATTAGCTCTGTGTCTGTGAGGGCATGAAATAATAAGAGAAACATTAGAGAAGCAGGGTTAGAAATGAATAGGAGCAGGGGGCAAAATGCCCTTGAAAGTTAAAACAAAAAAAAAATCATGTGAAATTAGGTGTAAAATAACCAGATAACTCTTCTCATTATTTTTCTCAGTTGTTAAATTGTTAATAATTACACAAAATTCCCTAATGAGGCACTATAGTTGAGAGGTAAGCTAGATGACTTTTTGTTTTCCCGATCCTCTGTTTATGGGAAATAATGAGCTGTAGGATTTCTTAACATCATGAATGGCACAGTGCTGAATCAACCAATCACGTGGCAGCGCCTCAGTGCATTTAGGCACGTGGAGAAAAGAAGAGCAGAAAGTTACATTTTTAGCTCTGCACTTTTTAGCACTTATGTGCAGAGATGGGCAGTAACGCGTTACTGTAATCCGATTGCTTTTTACAAGTAACAAGTAAAGTAAGGGATTAATATTGCAAAAAAAGTAATTAGATTACTGTTACTTTCCAGTAAGCATGCCGCGTTACTGCGTTACTAAACCATGATTTTATGAGAGTGTCTCATGACAAGGACGTACGAGCCCGCGACGTCCGTGACTGCAACAGACGTGTGTATATCAACAATGGATAATATGGAGTGCAGGAGAGAGTACGACCACGCAGCATTTAAAGCCTGGAAGCACTGACATTACTTTGAGTTTGATTGCGTAAAAAGTGACAAAAGCATTTGCGTCCACTGTACCCTCTGCGTGGGTAGAAAACTTCTTTCTACAGCTAAAAATTAATCTTCAAATCTTAGCAAGCACCGAGCACGCTGCCACGGGAATGTAACAAAGTAATAAATTAACTAATTAATTTTGAAAATAAGTAATCAGTAAAGTAATGGGATTACTTTCTTAGAAAAGTAATTAGTAATTAGTAACTAATTTCTATTTTCAAGTAACTTGACCAACACTGCTGATGTGAATGTATGAAAGATCAGTAGTTACTTTCACATGTGTAAAAAGTGCACAAGCTTCCCCTTGGTTGGTCCCCACTCAGATTGTTTGAGCACACAGAATTTACTGCTCTGCGTGACCTTCACACTGTCCACTGCAATTTCCCTAAGTACTGCACATTGTAATAATTATGTTTGCACACGCACATGATGAATGATTTAGAAAACACACAGAGAACCAGACAACTGGATACAGTACAAACAGCAACATGCACTCTTGTACAAGTAGACATCTTTTCAGCTACCAAGTCTTAATATCTGTTGTCATAAAACACTAGTAATGGTATTTTTTTACTGCATATATTTTCTTCCATCTTTATTACATTTCCAAATTGGCACAGGCAGAGTCATCAAAGTAGAGTTTATAATGTCTTTCTAATGACTGGCAGTTGCGCGAGTTGTTAAATAAGGCACGTCAGGTCCTGACTGGGTCCTAATACTGTAGCTGTTCAACTGTTTTACTGCAACCATAATACCCGATATCCACTCCCCACCAAAACTGCCTGTATCAGGATCCTTCTTGCCACAAGCACTTTTAATAAAGGAAAGTGGAGTATTTACTGACAAATTACACAGCTAAATCATTCAGACATACCTGCAGGTGACTCCAAAGACTCATTTTTTATATATTAGATACAGTTTCAGTATTGATCACGCTAAATGGGAAAATTCTGCTCTGAACTAAAAATGAAGATTTTAGGTGTAAGAACCCTAAAGAATATGAATAGGTTTTCTCTGATAGAGACCGTTGACGAGGACATTAGCAGTGATGGAAAAGTGAAAAAAGACTGAATGGCCAGGCAGCACTGGTGAAATAACAGCCTCCTTTACTCCACAGATGGAGGGAGAAGATGGTGACAGAGTGAAGAGGGCGGGAGGGAGCAAACACCAGATGAAGGAATGACGGATGGACACAGTTTGGAGGATGACTTATTGTAGAAACTGACTGAATAACTAGTTGGGTCCATCCCACGGCTGATGTAACGAACGTTCACAGCTTGAAAATCTTTGCAATGGCAGGAGACTACATTCGTCCCTCCATTAAAGCTCTAATCCTGCATCCCACACCTAACATGTTACGACAGCTTGGAATGTTTCCACTGAGTGCCTTTTCTTCCCCTCTTACATCTCCAGTGGATGTGTCTGTTTCGCCGTTGTTTTATTATTCGGTGTGCTCGTTTGGTTACAGCGAAATAAGTAAATTGATGCAAGCTTCTATACTAAACTATCTTCTTAAGCACGCAGGGGTTGGACATGTCTTAAAGAAAGACAACATGCCAAAGGAGGACATGCCTTGCGAGTGAGAGGTTGAGAAAAGACATGCAACTGGGGGGAAGGGGGCGAACCAGAGGGAAAGAAGGAGCCACGGAGTTTGATAAGCAGCGAAATGATTGGAGGCAAAGACGAATGACGTGAGAGAGATGAACTGAGAGTAGCGCAGGCCTGTAAGCTGTGCTGTTGCAGCCAGGCATTATGACACATCCCTGTGTACTTTGTACTGCACTGGCTGCCTGCATCCTCACTGCAGATTCTCATTAACCTTGCAGCACTGAATATTTGTGCTTCTGTCCTGGTCCAACGTTGTCTCATCCTCCCAATGTATACAAGTCTGCAAACTATGCTGAACCTCACAATCAGCTTCCCACATAGTGTACATACCAAGATAATAACACCAAGCAACCGCCATCTATAGTGCGCTCACTTTCAGAGTGTGTTGTGTGACGTATGTGTGCTCGTATGTGTGTGTGAGAATCCTGAACCAGAGACCATATTCAGCAAAGCTTTAATAACGCTTTACTGAAGCATGAATAATGGTTTTGTTGTTCAAATGCCACATTACACAGTAAGGATAATAAAAAATGTTTAAAGCACACACTGACAGAAAGCTATAAGCTACCATAAACACTGTAAAAGTCAGCTGCCTCGCTGATACTTAAGCAGAAAGATGATCTTTTTCTGTATTAAAAAAGTTCACTGATCCGTAGTATGGGTACCAGGAATCAGGCACAGTTCTGACTGGAGCTTATGTTTACACGGGCACAACAGCAGCTTTTATATAAAAGCCAGATGTGGCCACCGTGATGTCATCGATTGGTTTATAGCAGGGGTGTAAAATATATAGCCTGCGGGCCAGAATTGGACGCGCAAAGACTCTAATCCGGCCCACTGGACAGCTTTGGAAATGTGAAGGGCAGGATCAATTTTGGACTTCTAACTGTATTCATTCATTTGTTTTACAGCTTTCCCTCAGATAAAGGCCTCCCCCATGGATATATATACTACACCAAAGTAATTAATAACACAAAAGTTCCTGTTTTTTCACTTTCTTATATACAATATTGTATAATAAAGATGGGCTGAAGCTAGCACATGAGACACTAGATTAATTAAGAATGTGCTTACTGAACTGTTAAATGACACATGAACAAGCAGCGTCATCTGCTCTCTACAACCTTCCCGTATACCTTCATACAAATTTACTCCACTTTTCAAACCTGGAGGCTGCATCCATCTTTTACATACAGTCCATGCACATAGCACATTACGCCTTGTTGCACTCCTCTTGCTGCTGATATATTTTTAATACACTCCGTGCATATCAAACAATCTAAAACAGCATGGCTAACAGCACGTGTAACAATAAGGGAGGAACGTGTCCCTGACGCTTTGCTGCAAGGACATTTAAAATAAGAGGGAGTCAAGCTGATGAAAAATGACAGCGTTATGTTCACCTATTTACATTTTAACTACGAAATCGTGCACACAGTAATGACTTTGGCCGTGATATCTAAACTGGATCCACTAGCTGAAATGATAGGGTCACGATGACGTGTAGTTACTTAGTCCTTAGGAGAAGGATGAGAACACTGGATTCAGGTTGGAAAAAGTCTGAGACGTGCAGTGACTCAATAGTGGGCAAGTAATGCATCACTCTCTGTTATACCCTTTGGGTATAACCTTGTGATATTTACACAAAATCCACTACAGTTAAACTATTAAGAAGGTTGCTCACTATGCCTCAGATTCATCTTTTTACACTGGAGACCACTGGAATGGCAAACTGTTAAATGTGTTCCCAAAACATAAATCCCAAACAGCTGATTCTGTTCATCTGGACGTAGTGATTTCAGTGGCAAAACATTTCATCACTCATCCAACTTCTCCAGTCTCTGGTCACGCTTTACCGCTGAAAACGCTACGTCCAGATGAACAGAATCAGCTGTTTGGGATTTCGTTACCTGGTTGACGTGCAGTATTTCTCTCCTAATAAAAGCATCTGCTCTGATTTCAGATTTCAAATTAATTTCACACATCAGTGAACTGAAACTGATTACACTAGTTACCTACAGATAAGTAGGTAACTCCCAAGCGAGGACCCCACCCAATCGCAGTAAGAGACCGCACAACTTTGTTAATTTATGTGACAAAGACAAATATATACGCACCTCCTCCCACTGATGTATGTATCTGATGAGTCGGGACAGTCTTAGCAGACGCAGAAGACTGAGGATCTTGGTGAAGCGGACGATTCGCAGGGCGCGGGCTGTTTTATATACCTCTGAGTCAAAGCCTTTCTCCACTATCAAAAATATATAATCCACTGGAATGGAGGAAAGGAAGTCCACGACGAACCAGCTCTTCAGGTAATTCATCTTGATGACTTTGGGATCTAGGATGATCTCTGAGCTCTCCTCATTGACGATCCCTGTTCTGAAGTTCATGACCAGGTCCACCAGGAAGATGGTGTCCGAAGCCACGTTGAAGACCAGCCAGGTGGTGGTAGTCTGCTCTGAGAAGAAGGTTATTCCCACAGGAATGATGATTAGATTCCCCATCATCATGATGAGCATTATCAAGTCCCAGTAGAACCTGTGGAAAAACCGAAACAAATGAGTAATGCAAGCGATAAAACATGCTGTAGCCACAAAACTGAAGTCCACAGGGGAAAAGAAATCATGCTTCTTTATTCTGCTGATATTGTATATCCCAGTGCATTGCATACGGTCAGAGGTGACTGTTCACTCTGTCACTGCATGTCTTATGAAAAGGTAGAACAGTCCCAGAAAAGAGGAGCACTGCACAATGTTGATTTATAAAGCTCTGCTTAAAAAAATGCCCGATCACTCTGCTCTCTTCTGACATTTAAATGCGGTATTTACCGTGTCAGGTCACATGACTTTCTAACATTAGCTGGGCCTCTTATTCAATCTGAACTTGCTCAAATACTCTGCTGCCTACAAATAGGATAAGCTTCAAGAGCACGAAGCTACATCCCCTTCTTTTATTAGAACATTTAAAAGGTTACGTATCAGCGATAACTCAATTCACTCTGAGGGAAAGTGTGAAACAAGTTTCATTACGATAGCTATAACGCCAGTTTGCTCCAACTCCAACTTCATGTGGGAAGCAGAGAGGTAAGGGGATTATAAAAGTCAGTAGTAGCCACCTTCTGACATCAGTCACTGCCTATGAAACTCTTCACTGCAGCCTATCCAGTGCTTCAGCCTGCAAAGGTACACAGCCTGAAAGATCTTACGTTGCCACTTCTGCTATCAGCAGATAACATGCAACATCTAAACAGCCGACAATATTAGATAATCTTTCAGCTCAGATCTGGAAAGGCTCATACATGCAAGCTTAAGATCTCTCTCCGAGAAGTATATACTTGAGTTCGTACCAAAACTCAAAGTTAATTACGATTCAAGGACATCCAGTAATGTACTGCTATCACTTACTATATGTATTCAGGGCTCTTTAGACTGAGACCCTCTCCATCCTTCCTGGCTGTGTTAATGTCCCTGCCCTCTGCCTTTCGATGAACAGAGCCAGAAGTAATTCATCAGCACCCTGCTCTTTTCACAAAGTGTTCTCGGCCCTGAGTAAAGGCCAGACAACCATGAATGAAAATAGATGCTTTCAGCAATCCTATCTCACTCTAAAAACTCTCCACTGACGTTATCCCCGCTCCGTGCCTGCCTGCCTCTGCTCTGCCTTGCTGACCATCACGTTGTTGTTGAAGGTAGAAATGAACTGGCTGGCTGGATGCCTGTCTGGCAGACTTGCCACCCAGTAATGGATCTGTTTCAATAAATTAAGCCGAGGCCTTGGCTTTATAAATACCCACAGATCACATGTCTGATAACTGTCTTCACTTCAACTAAACATTGAGGTGGCTGATAAGGTCCACAATAGGTATTTTTACCCCAGCAGATATTGAACTGCTGAGCTCGTTGAGTTCATGCTAAACCATGATGCAAACTGAGTCCTCTCAGGTCAGCACAATAACAACAAAGTTACGCAACAAGTACAATGCGCACTAGAACTGAGCTATAGCATTATGAGTAATAAGAGCGCATTTTAAAAAAGCATACAAAAGCTGTGCTTTTATACGCTTTTTAGCACGTGTGTCATTGTATCAACCTTTCAATAAGCTGATGCTTATTGACCCGATGTGTCATGTTGTGCGTGACTTTTTTTTGTCTTGTAAATGTTTATATTTCAGTTTTAAAGAAGAGGCTGCCATGACTAATCTTTTTCAACTTTAATCTAAGGGGATCAAGGATTATATAATATCAATGAACACAAACATATTTATAGTTTAAAAAAAAGAGAACAGTGGTAGAGCAAAAATAGTTAAATAATAGATAATACACAAAAATGTGAGTTCAAGATGTACAGTCTGTTAATTTGGAGATTAAAAAAACGAGTCCCTGTGAACTAAGATGTTTTATCTTCCTGCTTTCAGCAAACAGGTTTTAATATCAGAATTTAAGTTGAATCACTTTTTGAATTTGGATGTTTTCCACTCATGTTGACAGAGTTCCCACATCTCTAACATATTTCTATTTCTATTGTGACTTTTGTAGGTGGTATTTATACTGTACATGACCTCTAAGACACCCACATATCTGTTGAATTAAACATTGTGCTTCACTTCTCAAATAAAAGAATCATTAAGCAACCTTGAAATATTCGTCATCAGAAGAATACAAGAAATCTGTCAAATGGAGTGAAACCCCAATGCTGCTACAGTTTACATGTAACTCATCACATACCAAAGTCAAAAACAACAGAGTAATGTAATAATTCTGTAATAAAGTACTCATTTTAAGTTAAGTTATCAGACTGAAATAATGAAAATACTAATTTGGAAGTTTAAATGCTAAAAACATTTTTTTATTTATGGTAACACCAACGCAGGTGTGCTCCTCCTAGTCACAGAGGCAGCTCTGATACTGCATTAAGCTTAAGCTTTTGGTCTAATGTGCCACTTCTAAGAAAGCACCCCAGCTAAACCAGTAATGCAGTGCAGTGCACTTAACTGTAACTGCGGCACCAACACTAGCAATGCATTCCAGCTAAAGTACTCTACTTCCACATTCACCCGGTGCTGTCGGAGTACAGCCTCCCCTTCCAGCCCATTTCAGCACTCAAGTCCCGTCCCGGCTATGGATTCACATCCAGATGAAATGTGTACTCTGCTAATCATCTTTTATCCCGAGTTTACAATCAATTTTAAAAAACTTGGTCTGAATGTTATAACACGCTGCTGTTGTGACTGTTTAAAATGGGAGACATTTCCCAAACACTGTAGGCTCTGCAGCAACGGAGAAACTGTGGCGCTCTGGTCACTCTGCCAAATGTGTTCACGCAGCATGAACTAGCAAAAAAGCGTATGTGATTTGAGTGTATCACTGAAAAAATACTTTGAGACAATATGTTCCACTTATAACAAGAGCTGGAAGCTACAGAACCCCAAAGGGGGAAGCAGTGAGCCTCTAATAATCCAGCTGAGGCAGATTAATCACAAGAAAGTTAAAAAAAATCTGCTTCGAATCAAGCCAGCACATTTTGTCTTGTAGGTTTCCTTCTTACAACAAGTGATCCATCATGATCAATGCCAGACCCACTCCTGCCAAGCAACACAATGAAGTCCACAGGATCCTACTCAGCACAACCAGTCTACAGTGTAGCAGGTACACTGTGCTACAGCATGGCACATCCTCAGACAGAGAGAAAAACAAAGACTTTGGGTTAAAAAAAAAGGATGTCAGAGTCATCTACGAATGTCGAGATGAGTAAAACAGAACATGTGGGAAAAGATTTGTTCAAGCTTGATTAAATACTCTAAACTAGCTTTACTCGCCTCTTTCTTCTTTTTAATAAGGCTGTTGTTGTAGGAATAAATTAGGGGAAGTAAGGCTACACTGTAAAATTTCTGCCTCTAACCACTCAGCAGGTTTTAGAGTATAGAGGTTTTAGACTATCTGAAAGAAACACAGTTGACGCTACAATTCATTCTGTTAATTAAAAGAACTGCAACATGAGAATTTACTTTGAAAAGGCTTAAAACCTCCACAACGTCTTTGAACAACAGCATATGGACAAAAGCCACCTTTAGCAAAACCAGAGGTGCGCGAGGCCGTGCACGGGCCCTCTCAAAAATCTATTAATAATGAATATTACTAACCTGCCATAAATCTTTAAGCAGCTACTGTGTACAAAGAATATGTTGAATATTGAGTTTCATCACTCGACAACGCGATATAAAGCCCGTGTGAATGCTTGGTGTCATTCATGGTCTGTACTTACGTAATGCTTTTCATTAAAGTTAGTGTTTTGTGTCTTTTGTTTTTGCTCACATAACATTAAGATGAGAGTATATAACAGTATAAGATTAATGAACAAGTGACGAAGACTTCTTAGCAAAAAGAAGAAAAAAATGAGAGAGGAAGATTTGCTTCCAAGAAATACTACATGGAGCCACGTGCAACAAAGGAGCAGCCTTGTCTCTTCCACCACAAACTGGGCACAAACTGGGATGAAAACCTCAAGGTAGCACTTCCAAGCCAGGAGGCGGTCTCAGCGGCCTAGAAGGCGGTCGTTTCATTGCACTGTCTGGAGGACAAGAGCGTCTTCTGAAAAACAGCCCTCTGGAAAATGTCATGAGGAAGTAACCTTAGGGGGCCTCTGCCAGCGTGAGTGAGACAAACATTTTCTAATACTGCAGAAAGAAGAAGGCCCAGTCTGCTTGAGCAATCACACATATGTTCTCATTACAGAGCCTTTTTTTTCCTGCTGATTTTCACTGTAATCCCCCACTGTATTTTTTTGAAATTCCTCAAATATAACAAATGCAGCCCATTCACTTTGGGGCCACTAATTAATCTCTTGACTCACTAACAGCTGTGGAACAGGTATCCATTTCACTGAACTGCTCTGGTCATACCCTTTGGCTATCTTTTGGAGGGGGTCAATCTTCTTACATAATTGAGTCTGTTAAGCTCGTTGACTGTTGTGTTGTGCTAATCCTTGCCTACCATCATTGTCCATCTGTGTCTGCAGAGGGGCAAACGCATACCAGTGTCTTTGTGTGGCTGAGGCTATGATAGCCTAGTTATCTTTATTCTTATGCATGGAAAGGGCGGGGGGGATCTTGCAAGGGGTGGGGCATGAAGATTTATAGAGTTTAGCGCTACCATGAGTACCATGTGGTATCTCATTAATCACAACAAATGTATGTAGCAAATAAGCCAGCAGGAAACTTATTTCCTGTGGACCTTTTTTTTAAAAAAATAAGAAATCACCTGCCATAAAAAAAAATCAGCAGCAAAAGAAAGCCTTGCAGAAAAAGGGAGCGCTGCATTTTTGCAGCCTGCTCTAAGTTCAGGACCATGGACAGCTCTAAGCTCAAGGCACTGGAAGCCGGAAGGGGGGGGGGGACGTGTCCCGACACGTTACATGTTGCGACAACGGAAAACGGGGATGATTGTCACCACCAAGCTGTGCCAGGTGACACTGGTGCAGAGGCTGGACCAGATGAGATGCTTAATTGGTGAAGAGGTAAACTGTAAACACGCAGCTCGTGTGTGTGTGTGTGTGTGTGTGTGTGTGTGTGTGTGTGTGTGTGTGTGAGGGGGGGGAGGGTGAGCCCGTACCGCCTTTACCTGGATTCATTTGTTTACTGTGTATGGAAATGTAAGCAAATTGGAGGCAGCTGGTCTGAAACTCAAACTCTCTGCTGCACTAAAGCCAGAGAGCTGGTGCAGCTGAGAGGAAAAATAAATAAATTAGACAAACCAAAGACCAAATCCAAATGATCAACCACTATGACATTTAGTGGGTGCCGAGGAAGGAAGTGTGGCACGATCCTTCTGCGGTTCCTTTGAAACAAACACATTCCATCACATTTCCTCATTCAAGTCAGTTTTAAAAAAAAATGCATGTAAAAACTCTCTGATAAGACTCGAAGATCAGATTTTTTTTTTGTTACTAATTAATTCAAAACACGGCCATCTTCTCCTTAATCGTCTCCCTGCACGATTTTCCGCATTCTGTGCATTTTTTTTTTCCCTTTATGCACGCAGGCCCATCGGCTCACATCCGCCTACAAAGAAATGTTTACAACCGCCGATGGTGCAATGGCATTGTCACGTTGTGTCCAGGTACGGTCGCCCCTATACGAGCAGGGAATGTGTCGCAATGAGAAGCTGCCACTGCGCCGCTGGTGTGAAGCAGTCAGGAGGGCTGAGCTCTGTGTGTGTTCTCCAATCATGACATTCACCATCCTTTATCCAAGGACGTTTCACTGGTACACCTTTAGCCTTAATGCGTCCCCCCTTTTCTCTTATAATAATAATAACACTAAAAATGCCGCAATGAAACACACACACACACACACAATCACTGAGCACATTTTGACAGAAGCCCCCCTCCCCTCCCCTACAGCAGAAGCCTGATTGCCTAAATACAGAGGTAGATTAGCGTATGCGCTTTGGGCCAGGTTGTGTGTGAGAGAGTGGCGATAACAAGTGGAGGCTATAGCTTGCAGACCTTAGGGTGACAGTGAGGGTGGATAAAATAAAGGGGAGGGGGAGGGGGTTTGAGCAGGTGTCTATTCCAGCCCTTACCTAAAATCGCTATATGGATGAATGATCCAGTATCCGGCCGTCTGAACCCTTTCTTGCTCTTTCTCCACAGCTTTCTGGCTGCCGAACATACGCAAGGAGAACTTATTGACTCCGGGCTGCATCATAGCCCCAAATTGCCTCTGCATAAAACCATATTGCCTGGACGCCCCCTCCAGATCATCAAAACCAACCATGGTCTCTTCCCGCTCCCCCTTGAAGCCCACTGAGTTGCCATGGTCCTTCATGTTCTGGCTCCCCGTGTTATTTTTCTGTATCGAGTCTTGCCTCTGAAAAACATTATTCCCATCCGCCTTCTCCTCCTTGTTGCTGGAGAACGAATTCGATTTGTCTTCCATGGCGCTCTTAGTTTTCCCGTTTTCTGTTTTTGGGGGTTTTTTTTCTTCTGTTTTCTCTCTGAGACTACGCGTTCCGTCTCCGGCTCGAGAGAGAGAGGGGGGGCGAGAGGACGCGCCGCGAGCTCTCCTGTTTCTTTTGATGTCCTTCAAACTGTTCGGCTCCTCTGCCTTCAACGCGAGTGCTGCAAACTGAGACAGAGTGGCCGAGAACCCGGTGGATCAGGTTTCTTGGGTTACCGCCATCTACCGACGGCCCCCGGCTTCTGCCGTCCAAAGCCTGTGCCTCATCTCACTTCGCACGACACTGCGGTTTAACTGGCACATGCTCTTGCACCTTATTTACATAATGTGGCTGACGATACCCCCCACCTCCGTCTCCAGTCCCCTTCTTTGCCAACAGTTTCACACACGGCAGGGGGAACCCGCTGCTGTAGAAGAAAAAATACACGTATGACAAGTTAATGAGGGCTGGTTTTATTATTTTATTTCTTAATAAACCGATATAGATTAGGTGCTTCCGGTGGTTCGCCTGGCACCTGGTTTGCTTCCTGCTGAGAAGTTACAGTAGAAGCCAACTGGATGAAACAGATTGTAAAGTAGGTGCCACCGGCCACATTAAACTACAAGTTAAACATCTTGTGGATATCGCAGTTTTTAAGGTGTTGCAGATCTTGATCCAACATTTCCTGTAACTACCTGCTGCAGTTTGCTTTATTTAAAAACTTGACGTACAGGCTGCGTAGAAACCAGAGCTTTTATATGCACCACAAAGAGATGATCTGCTCTATGTAGGAGAATTCTGTAGTTAATTAGGTAACGTCTGAATTAATGAGCGCATTCTGACATATTGTGTAAATTAAGGGATGACCAACTGTTCCACTCATGCTGTTTCCAAAAGGTGTTTTCTCTAATTATCCGAACCGTGGTTCGCTCTCCTAGAATTAGGTCTCTATCCAGAATACATCTCAAGGACTGCAGGCAAAGATGGGATGACGAATAGACAAGGAAGAAGATGGACCAAAGAAAGGATGTGAGTACTGGAATTACATTGCAGTGGGAAAATAATAGAATAAAGTGCAGAAATAATTTTAGTGAAGGATGGTAAAGACTGGAGGCTGGAGACAGTAGATGGAGCAATACAGAAACTACAGAAGCAGCCAACCAATTAAAAGGAATTCTGATCAGCTAATCGTACTCTAATCGGAATTAGTTTTTGTTTGTTTGTTTGTTTGTTTTTTACATCCAAATTTATGATACATTTCTTTATTATTTGCAAAGAAAGCTATCAAGTTTAGAAAATGTTCATGTTTTGTCACTTTTTCTGACATTGTTAAGACTGAATCATTAAATAATTGATCAAAAGAATAACTGGGTTATTCATTAATAAAAGGAAATAGTGAGTAGTTGTGGTTTTATAGGTTGCTTGCTTGGGAGTGTGGACGAAGAGAAGCAGAAAGAGTGAGAGAGCACAGGGAGTGGCTTCCCCCTTAATGGCATAATTGCAGGACAGCCTGTCACACAAACCATCTGCCATGGAAACGCTATTTAGACATTACTGCTAAGAGTCAGGATATTTTGTGAAGGATGAAATTTTGCCTTATGCATGGGAAAATCTAGTGCTGTGATTTTCATGTCAGACTCACAGCATGAAATGAGATTTTCTTAATTTCCACACTATCAATAGGTCTAAGAATAAGAGATATTTTAGAATAAACACACACATACAGATGGGCACACAAATACATCCATTTATTTGCATATTTATACTCAGGTACTGTGTACATATGTGTACGTGTGTGTGTGTGTCCATTTATGTACATTTTTGACCGGGTGCAGAACTGTTAGGAAAAAAAGGTACTCCTGTAAGTATAAGAATGACTGGTTATGAGACACTGGCCATTATACACTGGTCATGCTATAAATGCATTAAAGCTATTTTCACATGGCTCCAGTCCCCAATTGCATTGTTCACTATACCAGGATCATTAATTACCATGAACATAATATAAAACAGGCTTCTGATGGTATTAACTGGTAATACAGTTTTATTAGATTCATGAGAAATCATGGTTTAGGTTAAAGTTACTAAACTGCTACTGTAACTGTTCAGAAATGGTCACATTAGAAGGTTATCAAGGCAGCGTGCCTCTGTGTTGCATTCAATGTACGTTCTCTTGTCTTTCTATTTTTTGGGGGGATGTTTTTTGTTGGTATTTTTTGTTTTACTTTTAAATTTGTCTCCAGTATCTAACTGTAAATATTGTTTGGGGTTTTTTTTGTTTGTTTGTTTTTTGGCCTGTACCTGTGTCTCATATCTCCAAGTTATCTCCACTTCCATGATTACCCTGTGTGTACGAATAGTCCTTTCCATCTATTTTAATCTCCTTGTGTTCTTTACTTTCTCTGATTCTCTTTTCGGCTTTTGATTTGTTCTTCCTACTCGGGATTCTCTCTTGGACTTGGCTTTAGATATCGTTTTCAACCTGCTGCTGCTCAGTCCTGCACTTGAGCATGTTAACCCAGTAGCCTAAACAAAGGCCCTGTTGACTACCCAAAATAATATAAATCAATTAAAGTACCTCTAACTTTGAAAAGCAAACTAGAAAAACTGGACTTATACATGAAGGTGCTTATATTAATAACCCAAAATACACACAGTGAGCACCTGTTCTCTGGGCAAACATGTCTTGTTGGAGCCAGAGGTCAAAGGAGAATGGGTGATTCAAGTCAATAAACAGGAAGAGCAGTTTTCTAAGAACAACACATCAAATCTTGAAGCGGGTGGGCTACAGCAGCAGAACACCACTAAAGGGTCACCAATTCATACAAAAGAAGATTGGAAAAATGTTACTTGATTTAAGCAGTTTCTAATGGCATTCAGATGGTAGAGTCAGAATTTGGTGTAAACAACATGAATCCGTGGATCCATCCAGGTTCAGGGTGCTCAAATTATGGTGCAGGCTATATTTTCTTGGCACTTTTTGGGTACCTTACCAAATGAGCATTCTTAAAACTCATTTAGCCTACCTGAGTATTGTTGCTGACCATGTCCATCTCTTTATGAACACTGTGTACCCATCTTCTGTTACTTTTGTTTTGATTGGGTGTAATTAAGATTTTGAATGCAAAAATTTTCTGAACAGAATATACTCTATTGAAAAAATGTTTGTTTTTCTGAAGGAAAAATACATTTTTGACCTTTTTAAATTCTAAATAAACTCTCTTGATATTTTTTAAATAATTTATTGGACAGTTACTTAGATAGCACTCTAACTAAGCTTTCTACAGGCACACAATACTTTGTGCTATGAGCCATTTTGGCACATAGACTAGAGGAGCCAGGGCTTGAACCAACAACCCTCCAAGTGACAGACCTCTTGCTCCACTGCCTGAGCCACTGCTGTCCAATTAAGTGTGGTTGTCAGAAGCATTTCGTATCACCTGAAACTGTACTTTTTTACACAACGTGGCATTGTATGCCCAAGCTGAACCCACGTAGCCACTCTTTTCCTGTCAATACAAAAAAACAAAACACAAAATCTCACAGCTGGCTGTGTATATCACTAGAGGACAATAGCTCAGATATTTTGCATGTTTGGTAGTGGATTATTATGCAATGATCCAAATGTTATCATAATTGAAACAGACATCCCTTAATTTTTTGTTCATTTTCTCTCTCAGCTGGGTTAGTGTTGGATTGGATTAGCTGGCATGCCAACTGTTTCTACTACACAACGCTTGTGTAACTACACAGTTAATGGGACAGGGAGGGGTACTGCTAGAGAAAAATGTTGCATAAGATTTATGGCTTAAAGTAATACTGATATTGAACAAGTGGAAATCACAGATGGCACATTCACATGTCAGAGAATAAATACAACACAAATAACTTTAGTGGGTGGAGACTGTGGATCACGGAGGAGCACATTCATCTGGGAGTAAACCTTTGTTTGGGTTTGTCCAAACCTCATGATTAATTCACGGCGTCATCCTGCCTCCAAATCTGTCCGATAATTCAGCCAGAGGAGAACTGGTGAGCGGGGTAAAAACAAATTATTCAGAGATTTTATTTGACTTTTCTTTACACATCTAATCATGTTTAGGTAAAAAAAAAAAAAGTCACACATATTGAATATGAACAGATCAATAGTGAGATTTCAATCCTCGTATGGAAATGTGTTTTAAACACTTTACCATACAGTATGTTGCAGTTTAAGCTGCGAGTTTAATCTGATCCTAGTGGGATCTAATCCAGCTTTATAATATTATGATGAATATCCAGAGAATTGTGTACTTAATATCCTGCTTCCTACATTGAAAAATGTGTTTGTGATTCTTCTGATTGTCTCAGTGGCCTTTTTGAAATTGCATTGTGCGTCTAAGATTACATCCAGTTTCACACTGATAGATATGAAACCTTGCATACCCCTGCACTGTCAGTCATTGCTTTTGCCAACAACAGCATCACCCCTCTGCAGGATAGTGAAACTGTGTGCCTCCTTGGACTCGTTTCATTTTCTGCAAGATATTAAATGTAAAACCAGATTTCCTACAAACAGGAATTGTTTCTGCTCAAATCATTTTGTTTTAAGGTTTAGCAGACACCTGTCACATAGGAATACACGAACTCTAGTCTTACCATTTCCATTCCATTCAATTCTTGTCCACTGAATAATAACCTGTGGATGTAAATGCTGTAAATCACCTATTGTAGTCTCACTGAAACATCTGAGAGACCGAGCTTAATAACTAACACAAATTAAAAAAAACACAAATCTTCCACCTCTTGGGCCAGACGTGACTACTAATTCACTTGTCCTCGTTGGACGCTTGTCCCATGGCTGACTACTTTAATTAAACCGTGATTGGGGCTGGAAAGATGGTAGTGTTGTAATAAGATTGAAAGCTTTGGTCGGTCTCCAGCTGAGACTATCAGGGTATCATGGACCTCCGGGATGAGACTGAGGCATTGGAAAGGGACCAGCTGAGGCCAAGGTTGA